ATGTTTCGCAATTTTCGTCCAAGTAGCCCTTTAACCACAATGTCATTGGGGGCTTCTCTGTATTTTGTCGCAAATTCGTCGCCACACCCGTAACATTTCTTTGCTGCGGAAGGAAGTTTGCAAAGTGTATACGGGTGTGGAGACATACCAGAATGCCATTGCCATCCCTGTGGAGTTTGCTGTTGATAGGCTTGCTGTGAATGTAGTTGGTGATAGCTCGAGGCTTGCTGTGGTTGTAGTTGTCGATAGCTGGAGGCTGGCTGTGGTTGTGGTTGTTGTTGGTGATAGCTCGAGGCTGACAGTGGTTGTAGTTGATGATAGCTCAAGGCTGGCTGTGGTTGTGGTTGTTTTTGGCGATAGCTCGAAGCTGGCTGGGGTTGTGGTTGTGGTTGTTGTTGGTGATAGCTCGAGGCTGGCTGTGGTTGTGGTTGGTAATAGCTCAAGGCTGACATTGGTTGTTGTTGGCGATAGCTCGAGGCTGGCTGTGGTTGTTGTTGGTGATAGCTCGAGGCTGGCTGTGGCTGTTGATAGCTTGAGGCTGACAGTGGTTGTTGTTGGTGATAGCTCGAGGCTGACAGTGGTTGTTGTTGGTGATAGCTTGAGGCTGACAGTGGTTGTTGTTGGTGATAGCTCGAGGCTGGCTGTGGTTGTTGTTGGTGATAGCTCGAGGCTGACAGTGGTTGTTGTTGGTGATAGCTTGAGGCTGACAGTGGTTGTTGTTGGTGATAGCTCGAGGCTGGCTGTGGTTGTTGTTGGTGATAGCTCGAGGCTGACAGTGGTTGTTGTTGGTGATAGCTCGAGGCTGACTGCGTTGGTCCTGATGTTGATGTGCATGATTCTTGCCTACTGTTTCTTGCTCTGCGTGCAAGTTTCTGGACCTCGTTAGGCTTATGTCCACGCTGGGAGATGTTCAGGTTGCTTTCGATTGCAGCTGTTAGATTTGTAACTCGCTTGCTACGCTGAAACTTTTTTCGTAAAGCTTCAATGTATTCAAATAGAATACCGTTATCTTCGGCAACTGCAACTGTGTCCGCACAAATGTTCAGCCCTTTGTATAGCTTGCAGTTACATTCGAACAATACCTTGTTCTTAGCTTGCGGCTTAACTATGAGAGGAACTAATCCGTACCTGCTCTTAACAGTTCTCACCAGCTCGTCGCTTGATGCAGCCTTCATAATAGCTAACGCTTTAGTGATGGTTACCTCTCTGTGGCCCTGTCCTTCACGTTTGCAGAAGTCGTCGATTTCTTCTTTGGTCAAGAAATTCTGCCATTCAATAGGATTCTGACCATATTCACCGTCGACTTTGGCTTCCCGTCTAACAGCTAGTATCATCTTGGTTCTCATTTGCTTTTCTTTGTATGTCTCGAAGTATTGCACGAATCTAGTTGGACGGTTTTTGGTGAATTCTTCTTCAAGTGCCCTCCATTTTTCTTTGTATATGGAAATTTTCTGTACGTAGTGTGTTTAATTCACTTGGGCTTTCGTACAAACTTTCTGGACCTTCAAATATGTCTGCAAGGATGCTTCGTCGCTGTATAAGAGGAAAGTTCAGGTCGGTGAGTTTCTTCTCCACGTTAGCAAACACGTGCTCTTTACCAAGAAGGTCTATGGTGTTGTTAGTTTCCTGTAAAATTCCGCCTGACAATGCTTCATCTTCATCTGTGCCTAGTACAAGTAAATTGGTAAGATGAGGGTTACCCCTTTTAACTGCTTGCCAGAGGAAGGCAAAGTCCTCTTTTGCTTGATTGCGATGGCACAGAAGAGGTCCAGGAAACCAGGGATGTTTCAGGCTGCCTCTATCAAGTACACTAAGTTGGCGGTAGGTTGTTTGGGTTAGCAAATACTCAGCAATGTTGAACGTCGTATCTGCACTCAAGGGACTTGTAATGAACGGGTTAGCCTTAGTTGTACAAAACCGTTCAATGTCCTTTAATGTCTGCTGAAGATATGCCACCACCCCAGCTTGTTTTCCATGGCGAAGTAGCAACTCTTGGATAAAGGATTGGTTTTTGTCCAGCAGATCACTGTCTTCGTGAGACTGTTCTAACAGTTCAAATATAACGTCACGGATTGCATCCTCGTGCTTCCTGTTTTTTACAGGACCATATGTTTGCCTGTAGTTTGAAATTTGTTTAGGGTCTCGGATTACCGAGGAGTCAGAAAACGATTCAAGCACATCAACTTTTTCTTGCATTTCCTGACAAATTAAGCGTGGTGCGCGAGAGTCCTCCTGGACCAGCTTCTTGCATGACTGTTTCAGTGAGTGTTCCTTTGGGCGAAAATTGGATGCATTCTCATTTTTGGTGTTCCCATGTTTATCGGCCACGATAGGGACTCGATGACCCGTATTGAAGTAGTAATGCATTATAATGTTAGGGCAAAGCAGAGAACACGTTGTTGTGTCACGCATCTTTGCATATACACGAGCATATTCGTCGAGGGTCATAACCCATGTAATACAACGCGTGAAAGCTGTGTTATACCGCTGAAGAGTTGCTTTATGTACAGCTCTTTTTCGAATGACTGCATAAACCTTCAGATCAGCAGATTTCGTTTCCTAGGCTTTGCCTTGTCGTCGTCTGTACATTCCAGAAACAGGTACTCCATTTGTATCCTTAGTCAAGGACACTTCGCAACTGATGTTGAGGTCGCCATCTTCCCCAGTTTCTACTTGGTAAAATCTTGTGCTTTCCTTCTTGTTAAAAGCACCTGGAGTGTCGTCCGCATCGAGATCTTTAGGGTGTTTAATGCCGGCCACGGTTTGATTAACAATGAATGTAGCAGTATCCTTTATGCGTACTGGCTTTTGCTTGACTAATCTGTTTGTTGGCACATCCCTCTTTACACAGATGCGAAATATTTCTTTGATATCTGGGTTGTTATCACTGTAAATAGGCAAAGCCTTGTCATTTCTGTAGAATTCCAGTGGTGCCAGGGGGTGATCTTTACTGCTTTCAGATGTGTCTGCTTCATACATGGAAACTGTTTCGGATTCACTGTCCTGATCAACGTCGGAAATTCTCTTTGTTTGGTCGTTTTCTTTCTTGAATAGAGGGCGAGCGACGTTCTCTTTAGTCATCTCATAGTCATCACCAGTTAGGTCAATGTGAGTTGTCCCTTTTTTCCTTCCAGCCGCATCTTCGAGTTTTTTGGAAGTTACATCTTTCCTCTTTAAAGATGGAGCATTATACCCACGGAAGACAGCTATAAACCCGAAAAAAAAAACTAAATCTGTCGATCGATAAACTAATTCATCTTAATTAAAACCTAGTAATTAATAATGAATGGAAGAATGAATACATCAAGCGAGAGAAAATGAAATAAACTAAATAAATGAAAAAGTTGTACTTAGAAAGTGTTACACGGAAACAAAGGAATGTATGATCCCGGAGGGAGGGGAGGAGGAGAGGGGGGTTGCTCCTCTATATATATCTATATACTCCTCCTTTTTTCAGAGCATCAACCAAATGCAGGATATCGCTAACAATGAGAAACCTCCAGCTCAAGCTGCCAATGGCAACATAACTCGGAGATTGTGAGAGCTGCTTTTGCAAACGTTTTGACTGACTCTCTCTATTAACTGTCTTCACGCACTCAAAACGGAACTCGTATTTATAAACTTCTTTCACTTTGTACAATTTACGCTAAAGAATAAAATTCTAAACACATTTTGCTCTCGTAGAAGCATTTTTATCGATTATGACACAGGAAACACTTCATTTGAACGAGTCATGACGTAATAGCTAATGGGCACATGGTCAGTGGTAATGTCTCCGATTGACTTGGTGTCTGAGTTATTGACAAATCGTCCCTACAATGACTCTTCGATTGCTAACGAGTTAAAAATAAAATTCACGCAATTTTTTTTTGAAAACAATGATTAGCATCATTTTGCATTTTGTTTAAAAAATAAAAACAAAAACAGCCATTTAGATGGCCTCCGAGCTATTTATTCTCTTATGTAGACCAGTTACAAAAACTAGTCACTGAGAAGAAGAACTTACAAAAACGTATCAACTTATTTATTATTACTATCTGCGAGCTGGCATTCACATAAAGATCCTACCTTTCTTTCTCTGGGGAAGACAGAATTTCGACGATTTCATCTGTCGATGTCTCGTCAGAACTGAAGAAAAGAATAGAATTATGTACACGATCGAATCACAAAATATGCTGCAATTATCGCACACCTCATACTTACTCTTCATCGGAAGATCCAAGCTTGACGTGGGACATCACTAGTTGTATTAATAATTATAAAGATTTTCTTTTTCTCAACAACAACAGTCAAAGCAATAGACTAGTGATTCCAACACTTAAAGAGAGCCGGACTACGTTGCTTTAATCACAAGCGGTGTCTGACACAAGAAAACCGCAGACTGATTTGTATAAATGAATCCATAATAGATCTGTATCAAGTAATTAATTCATTAATAAATTGTGATGTCTCGATATTTAAATTCCAATTTATCACGGGGGTAAAAAAATGTCATATATATTCGTTTTTATTTTATTATCAAGTGAGTAAATTTTATTATAAAGTGAGTAAATCAGAGTAAGAGAAGTCCACAGTGAATAGCAAAGCCATGACCGGCTAGACATATTTCTGGAATGTTGGCGTACAAAGCTGACAAAACCACAGAGGCGTATCCATGATTTTTTTAAAGGGGATGGCTCTAGAATGACGAGAACTTGGCGGGAAATTTGCATGACGGATTAGTTTGGATAACGTATCAATTACAAATTGCCCACTAAAATTAGCAAATTAATTAGGAAACTAGCTAATTCAATTGTTATTTTTTTATTTTAGAAAATTTATTTGTTTAGAAAACATGTACGGGAGGGGGGGAGGACGGTCCCCCAAGGTCCCTCCCCTAAATCCGCCACTGAACGTCACTGAACCGAATCGATCAAACGAATAAACAAACAAACGAAACAAAAATGATTGATTGATGTACCAGCAAGTAATACTTATACAAGATATAGAGTAATTTCCGTAAGAAATGCTATTATATATTATTGGACGGTTCAACTAGGTGTAACTTGATCATAATTACTTTATTTTTCGCTATTATTGTTATTTTTTTTACTCGTGGTCATTCGTGGTCGCTCATTTGTGACTCGTGGTCACTCGCAGTCATTCGTGGTCATTCGTGGTCATTCGTGGTCACTCGTGGTCATTCGTGGTCACACTCGTGTGGAGTTTTAGAACAGATCATTAAAAGGATATAAAGTATTGCAATCTCATTTTGGACTAACCGTAATCAATATGAAATTTACATAAGCGTCAAAACACATCATCTAGCTCGCTGAGGAAGGAATCAGGTGCAGTTTTAATTCGTAACGCGGATTAAAATACCGAAAATTATTAGATTTAGAGTATTAACCATAAATGCTTTAAGTCTTTATGAAAAATATATCAATAAATTGATTTTTTTTGGATGCCTAATGTGCATATGTTAACGGCAAGTTACTGAAAAACACGAAAACTACGTGCCTGCTGTACAGAATATAGCTCAAAAGCGCAAAATGTTTTTATGGGTTCTTGTTAACCAATCTTAGGTTAGTAGAATTCCTTAAAAATTTTAAGCAAACTGTGTTGGACTTGGCAGATAAAAGCTACTTTGTAAAGTATACTTCGCCGTGATTTCAAAAAGCCGAATAGTTGGGTTCGCTTCGTATAGTGTATTATTTTTCCCTTATATTTGATATTCAAAATTTTGCTACTATTTAGTGCACAGATACATCTAAAAGAATGGCTAAAAATATTTAGGGCCTGCGTTCTATATTTTGTGAGTTATGCTGCTCTGAAAATGTTCGATTTCCTATCGAGAAAAAATGAAAATTTAGCGAAGACGGTGGACCTGTAAAAATAGGCTGAAAAAAAATTAATTTAACGAATTTTGAAAAACAAAGTCGATTTTCATTACTTACTATGATAGGGCAATTCATGGTAGAAATTTGAGGGAAAACTATTTCTGAGCCGAAATTCATCAGACCGCTTTTACAGAGACTGCCTCTTAA